TTTGTTTGGCAACAATCATGTTTCGAACTTCTCATGCTCTCCTTGCTTCCTGGGGCAGGTGCATTTGTGTTTCAGCCAGACACTGAAGATGCCAAATCGGTTGCTGTTGGATGGGGATGGGGATCATCATGGCAAAGGGCTTCCATCTCCTTGCGTCTATCTCGCTTCCGTGCATCATGGCGATTTAGGTAATGACAAGAAGATGGTTTTAGAAACGAATCGACGCCAAGGGTCCAAAAAAGGAAGGGTAGGGGTTGCGGTTGACTGGTGGTAAGCGCGCGATGATGTGTGTCTCCTTCAGTCTCGTCGGGCAACAGCGTGCCGTCAAGTCTCTACCCAAAGCCCCGGCACCGGATCTCAAGTTAGCCGCGTAGCCGCCGGTAAGGTAGGTATGGAGAGACGCCAGGCCGGAGACCAGAAAAGATTCGTGAGGGACGGAAGGGAGACATGACACGTCGTAGGGGCCGTAGGGCCAAAGTCAAAGTGTCGGTTGTCCATCGATGTCGGTCATTGGTGTGTGGTGATGGGTGTGCGACGTCAACATAGGAAAAATAGGTAGTGTACCACTAGATGACAGCCACGCGGGAGCTGCGCCGCACACACATGCCTCACATGAAGGTACCCGTGAGGCAGTGCGTCCCTTTGTGCAGGATATGGCACCGTAGTAGACATGGGTCCTGCCTGGCTCCTGCCCTACGAGGTGCCTCTACAATCTGGGGACGGGATCGAGAAAAGATAAAGTCAGTGCACAGCCCCGAAATCTACCTCTAGTTGGTCATCGTCGAGCCGAAGGATGAGGATGGAGTCCGATGGAGATACCTACCTGCCTGCCTGCCTGCCTGTCATACTATAGAGGTAATCACGCACCTACCCTACCCGATAAGTGCTGTGCCCGGTGACAAGTGGAATGCAGTCCATGTACCACACTCGCAATCGGGTCTTTTTTCGATATTGATTACTGAATCGTCGTTCTCGCTTGCCAACGCAGACATGACAATACTATCTCCGAAGGAGTAAGCTCGGACTGGTGAACAGAAGAAATGTGCAGTACCATGGAAGGTAAGCTCGCTTAGCGCAGCCAATCTGCTTATATCCGATCAGACGCATGCACCAATGACCAAAAATACCTCTACCTACCTACCTACCGTTGCGCTGCCCGTTGACGACTGGAGTGAAGCCTGTCTGGTGTTTCCTGTCGCTGCTCGTCAAGGCTCCAGAGCGCACAGGCCAGGTCGACGACGTTGCACCCTAGAATAATTCTCCCATTCATCTCTAGCATTGATGTCATTGCGACGAGTGGATGATTTATTGGGTCCAATAGGATGTGCGTCTCAATGTTCCTTCATGTTGTGTAAGTCCGAGTGTTTGGGTGTTGTCAAGTTGAAGCATCAATGAACGCCAGGCAGCGATATGGGAATTGGGAATGCCCTCATTCTGGGGCACGGTCGCGATGCCCGAGTCCGAATCCACCTAGTCCAGTTTCCCCGCAGTAACGATTCCTGAGATCGGCCGTAGACATGGATCCGTCCCTTGATTCCAAAAATACGAATCGCATTGCGGCCCAGTTCAATATCGAGCGCGGCGGGGAGCATAGCGGATTTGGTGGTCGCGCCTCCTTTGTCGATATCGTGATCATTTGGGGCGTCCTAGGTGCTGGGCCGACGTGGTTGCGATGTTGATGGAAGGGTTCGTCCCGTGTGGGAAAGGGAAAGGAAGCGATTGGAGGTCTTGGCTTGCTAATGGTCTGTGCATACATCCTGCGCATATGAGTGGTAGATCTCTTGTCAATTTTCAACAATAATCACTCGGCGTGGTGGCAGAGTGGTCTAATGCGCAAGACTAGAAATCTTGTTCCTTCGGGAGCGTCTGTTCGAATCAGGCCCACGTCGCACGATGACCATCAACAACTTCTTTTTCCGCCTTTTTTTCCATGTCATTTCTTGTCTGGCAACTCGTTCCTTTTTTCTGGCCTCTTTTTGTATGTTTTATCTTCTTTTCGTGCATTTTATAGATGGTCGAATGTCATTTGCAAGTCTGGCATTTCCTTCAATGGTCAGCTTTTATAATTTTGAAACATTGTGCATTTGGGTTTTTGAACTATAGAAATTAATGTGAGGTCATGAACAAAGATCTGAAAGTTGCTGTGTCTAGGTAATTTGAGCACATCAGATGAATTCTTCCAAAGTTCGTCAGTCAAAAGACTGGATGTTGAAATGTTCTACTTCACTACACAAACGATTATTATCGAGTCATTCACATCTTGGTCATAATGAAATTTGTAGACCATGCTTTCCAGCCTAGGCCCAAAAGTTTCAGTAAATCTACCTCCTAATGTGGTCGTAAAGGACCGTGGCTGAGTTCGGACATCTCATCTTTTACATGACCTGAAATTGAACTTCATGTTGCCTCAACAAAGATGACAGTCGACTGGAACATGAATCTCTTCACCGAAGAACCTGTCAGGCTCACCTGAGTGTATCAGTCCAATGGGGCAAACAGTAAGCCACTATCACCGGAGGGAATTCACATCCGGATATCCTCATAGGTGTATCATTCCCCTTTGTCTGATTCGTAGGCTGAAGATGCCGGGCCACTTGGGCTTCTGACACGACTGCACTCCACGAAGAGGCAAGATGGAGCATCAGACACTCGGGTTCTCCATCGGACCGCATCAAATGCTCGAGCCGTCCTTCACTTCAAAGAGGCTTACACTCACGAGTCTTGGGCTCCCTCGTTTTGCCAGACTTGCGTCACTCATCCTATTTCTACACTGCTCCAAAGAAACTTCAACTTGTGGCTCACCCAACGTACGGCGATGACAACATGCGGAGCCAGAAACACTTTGCAACTTCAAAGAGGCGCCTAAAGCCGATATCAACGCCTCCCCACAATATCAAGCCTCAAGGTGACACAAAGCAGCCACATCCTCCACTCAGCAACAGTTCGCGCGCAACTCGACCGAGTACCGTAAAACCGTGCCCGCCACGTCCGCCACGTCCGCCACGTCCACCACTTCCTCCGTGGGGGCCAACACGCCGCCATGTGGCTGTCCACTCTAGCTGAACGTCTGTGTCACTTGAATCCATGACTCCGTCCAGGCACCTCCCCCAAGAAGAGTTTCGATACCGAAGCCACATCGATAATCCACAAAATCTCTCACGAATCACGGCAGCCAGGCTGCAAGCAGTACAAGGAGAGACATTGGCCTATAATTATCCCCAAACTGTGCCATTTACGTCACTCTTCGCGATAATATGAGGTATAGAACTGCTCTATCAAAGGTAAATGGGTACCTCCTTGAGGTACCCAGGAATCACATGCTCAGAATGTGGCTTCGTGGCTTCTTGCCGAGGGCAGGCTTGATTTCCCCAAGAAACTCAGCGTCAGGTACGCGATCGCTACCCATGGCTATAGCATGCCCAGCCTATTGGTCGCCCATGATTGTAGATGCAACTATGCATCTCTGGGCCAGATAGGTGTAGTCTGGTCTGGACTCCAGCTAGAAAGGGAAGCTGGATTTGGGTCTTGGGTCTCCCTCTTCAGTCTGTTGCCGTGGCGACAATCTCTTGCTTGGTCTGCCCCCCCCGTGGATGTCACCAGAGCGCGGGATGCCTAGAGGTTGTAGTGATGCAACATAGGTGCCTACCCCTCAAGCGCAAGAACCTTGATGACTTTGAGCCTCTTGTCTGTGACTCTGTCCGTATACAGAAGCTGGATTTTGTCGACTTGAACTCATGAATCGTGACCATATGCAACAGCGATCACGCCATATCGTGAGCGTTGGAAGAGCGAAAAGACTTGCCTCATTCATCCTCGTTCGAGTGGCAGTGATGGAAGAGACGATGGTTGAGGCAATCAGCTCACTTGAGTGAAAAGGCACGCACGGAACGGCCAAGACTGTGGGGGCTTGGTAAAGAAGATGAGAGGATTGCATGTGAGATGCCCACCGGACACCCATCGACGGCTGTCCGTATCATGGGTTTCGATCCCGTTATTACAGCGACACCACCCGCCGGGTTTTCTCGTATCGTTTGTAAATGAATTCGCGATAAGTCGATTCCCGTTTCCAGTTACACAAACGTCTCAGCAGCAGCACCATAATCACAGCGTCCAATTTGGAAGATAAAATCGAAATGATTGTGAGTCAAGTGCTCGTTGACCTGAGGAGGGTTGCTACGTGAACTCCAGTGTAACGGTCGTCGAGCCGGATTCGGCAGCTCCTCAAGGCCACTGGGGCTCTCCACAGCGGGGACCTTGCACATGCATCACCAAAACAACAAGCTAGCGCCGGGCATGCAAGTTCAGACAGAAGAAGCATGACAGCAGCAGCAGGGCAGGATGGGGAACGGCGAACTGCGCGGGCGGCAAGTGCAAAGTGCCTGCTGGGAAGAGTCGTAAACGCCGGCGGCCCCGCGTTGTGAACGGGGAAGGAAGAGGCCGAGTTTTGACGTTTGAAAGTGACAATATCGCAACTTGGGCGAATAAAACTCCCCATTTCCCGTTCAGGAAGGCAAATCGAGCAAGAAGTCAACCAGTTCGCACTTTGCATGACTCCTTGTCCCTGTCTTTGCTTGGCAGCTTTTAGCTTCATGCCCCAGTTTGCCCAGCCATCCACTCCGTCCCCATTGGCGTTGGCATCCATCTTGGTGCCGTGTGTACAACCACGGTCTGGTGCAGAGGAGGGATTGGTCAAGCACGAAATTGGACTGGAGTGGCCCGAGACCGGGCAAATAGTCAACCCCGTTCGAAGATTCGACGAAATCGAACACATTGAGACACTCCCGCATCAATAGTCTCTCCTAAGGCCCTTCTATCACAGATCGCCCGAATGGTAGTGTATAGGCATCTCATGTTTTACAGCATGTCGTTGGATACTTCGATTAACTTTGGGGCAAAAGAATGTGAGACAGCATAGAAATTGCACAAGGGCGGCGTTGACGGCCTCGTCGATGCCAAGGACTGGTCCATATCCATCATCGTTCACACCTGGGCTGACATGAATGCCCGAGATGTGGTTTTTCTGCAGGAACAAGGCTGTTTTTGCCACTTCGCAGTACGCTGCGTTTCCAGACTGTGATCGTCGTTCACCTCGGGATTCTGTTTTGGGCGAATCTATCAAGAAGTGCGTGTTAGTGGACGGTAAACGGCCTTTCAGAAATTGAAGAGGACATTGCACGGTAGCAATCAAAAATACCACAGCGATAACTTGGCTCGCTGCACCCAAGAGACAGGCTCGACAGGAACAGGAACACCATAGTGAGACCCTCGGGATTGTCTCACCCCATTATCAGTTCTGTAGGCGTGCCTTGGCTGTGATAAAGCCTCTCTGTACCACGTGCGTATAAGACTGTCTCGATGTTGGGATGCAGATGACGATATCTCCAACATTCACATTGCTTCTTGCAGCCTACGGCATTTTAGCATCTTCCCCGGAGACGCTCAGATGGTGGACTGCCGGCACTTGAGGTCCAAAGAACTGGGGAAGGACTTGCTCAGGACACAACCAACTCCCGCACTATCGATTTACTGAAGCGGGCCGGCCGGGGGTGGGGGCCATTGCAATGCCCATGTAGCCGATCGCGCCATTGCCACACCCTGTTCAAGGTCCCAGTCGAACCCTGGCCAAGGGTGGCATCGAGATACGGCAAGCATGGGGGTATTCTATCCAGGTCCTAAAAATGAGCTCCACTCCCAATTTTCCAGGTCCCTAACCAGCTACAAAAGTGACATTCTGCCCAAGACTTGAAAGTTCCCTTAAGCGCCTACTAACAATTTTTGTACCTTTATACCACGCTTGTACTACATTTCCGCAATTTTCCCACAACCATTACCAAGCCTACAAATTTCATATAACCGCGACTATATTAAATATTATTACTTACTATAATCTATTATATATCGTACTTACTCTATACTATTAAAGTACAATTCTATATTAATTACTACGTACAAACCTTATATTATAAGTAAGCAGTTTACTATTATATATTATAATTATTTATATATTAACTATTTACTCAATATAATTCCGATACGGGAATATAGAATACTAAATTCTCTAATACCTATTAACAAAACTCATTTTAATTAATTATTTATAGAAGTAATTACTAAGGGTACTATACTTAGTCCTAATATATTTAATATACCTAATAAGATTATACTTCCTTAATATTTAGATATAAAATTAGTAAATATATACCCGTATTTATTAAATTCCTCTCCCGTACTTTCTTTGCCTACTCCTAACTCTAATAATAAAAAGAATAATATATCTAACCAATATATTCAATATAAATAATAGAACTATAACCCTATTAAACTAACTCAAATAATTCTAAATTTATTAAATAGTAGTTTTTATACCCCTACTAATATAATAATTATTTAGTAATAATATTATAAAATAAGAGTATTCTATATTATACTTAATAAATAGAATTATGATTAATAATAGGTCTTATACTTCTAATTACCGAAAAATTCTTATATAAGTAAAAAAAAACTATTAATAGTAGTATTAAAATTTATAATAAAATATCATTACTACTACCGCTTCTATTGGAAAAAAGCGCTACTTAACTAAGGAAAAGGATTAATATTAAAGAGTATTCGTACTTACTAATCCTGCCTAGTACGTCTTAAATAGTTAATTAAAGAAAATAATTTTATGGAAATTACTATTACTAATTAATACACTTATAATATAAACCTTCATAATTAAATTACTTTACTACAAACTATTGAAGAATATACTATATACCTACTTTTAGCAAATTATCCTACTATTATAATAGAAAAAATAATTCTTAAATATAATAATCCCGTATATAGAGAGCGTCTAATTCGCTACGGTAATTATTACCTTATTATTAAAAAGCTTATAAATATTATTATATTATTTAATCTAAAATTAGAAGGGAAAGGACGCTAGACTAATAAAGATAATACTCCTTAATAGGAATATACATAGTACTTCAAAGAGGTTGAGAACCTTAATAATTAAAGAGGCAAATAAATCTTTTTATTAGAAATTAACCTAAAAATAAAGAAAAGAAAGGAAAAGCCTATATAGGCATTAATCTTTATAAAAGATAAATACTTATAAATACTATAGGAATATAGTATAATTACTTTTATAGATTTAATATATAATACAAATTATTACCACTTCCTTCTTTTCATAATTATAATATAGGATAATTACAAATCTTAACTTCTTATTACCTTTTTTCTTACAATTAATTAAATTATTAAAATTATTAAAGAATATTTAAAAGTACTAATTAAATAATATAGTAATTTATAGGGTTAAGTACTCAAATATATAGTTACAAATAATTTAGTAGTTAAATAAAAGGGTATACAACTTACCTTCAATATTACTAACCGTAGGGAAAATATTATATAATATTTATTATATAGGAAATATCTTTAGGCAATATTTTATAAATACCTATAAAATAATAATATAATATTATAAACTATAACTCCAATACTATATAACCGGTCTATAAAAGAGAAATATCTTAAATCTATTAATTAAACTATTTCTTTACTACTTTAATACAAATAGAGTATCTCTATAGAAATTAGTAGTTATATACTAAGTACTAAATATACTAGTATAAGCATACGGTCCCGCTACTTTTAAAATTAATACTACAAATATAATTAAATCTTAACATACTTACTTAAAAACTATTAACGCCCTCTTAAAGTATAAAATAATTATACAATATAATTTAAAAGGGATTTTTTATATAGTTATAAATAGAGTATATAATTACCTTCGTCGAATTGAAAACTAGTAATCCTACGCTAAAATCTATTAGGGACTACTTATAATAAATTTTCTAAACTTTGGGTTTAATAAATTATTAATTCGTATATAAATACTTATCTTTCGGCAATATTGTACTGCTAAAGAATAGCGACGAAAATAGTAACCTCCTAAATTTAGATATATTCGTATATTTAGTTAGGAAATACTATTATTAGGAGAATAACCTACTAGGTAGGATTAATCCCGCGTCTTTTTCGCAACTAGTTCGCTAATATTCTATTTATTTTAGAGATAACCTAAAGGATAAATATATATAGCCAAATACAATTCTTATACCTTAGTAACTACTTCTTAAAGAAAATAACTTCTTTAAACTATAAGATAAAAGATTTTAGAACCTTAAAGATAATCCTATAAGTATTAATAAGCAACTTATAGGTATACTATAAAATAAATACTACTAGTTCGCTACTTAGTAGCTACCTTATACTTATATTTAGTATTATTACTTATCTTTTAGTTTATTGTAGCCCACTTATTTTATTTAACTAATTAGTTTCTAGGCTAAAAATAAGTTCGAAGTTTATAAAGAGATTCGTATACTATTTAAAGGTACTTTTAATCGTATTATTAGTATACTTCGAAGGTATAGACTAAACTTTTAAGAGGTTAATAAGTAATTATCTTTAAAAGTATAGGAAATTCTAAATTTTGTAGAGGCTAATAATAATAGTATAAATAAGTTAGATCGAGCGTAATGTGGGATGTATTATATATATAATTAGATTTAATTAACTAGAGTAGACTGGGTATAACTACAGTTATATCTATTGCTGTTAGAGGCTCTAGCACGCTCAGGCACGTGCCTACTCACGTGCCTGGCTGCCCGGTCGTATGGACCCATCCTATAAGGTGGGCTAACGATAAGATAAGGGAATTCCTATAAAGGGATTCCCGCGCAGGCCGGCCTTTGGCCACGCCTTTCTTCCTCTAATATCTTCTTCTTTAATATTATAGTCTATACTAGTATTATAATATTTGAAGATACCCATGTTACCCTATTAAGTAGTAGCTATAATTAAACGATTATAGTAATTTATTGTAAGTAATATACTCTTCGTACCCACCTTCTAGTAAGTTCACTAACCTTATTATTACGAATTTGCTAATTCGACTACAAGATCGTCTATTGTAAGACGCTAACCCCGCAATTACTTCCAAACTCTCGATTATTCATTATTAAAATAGTATCGAAGTTTCTCTAAAGTATATAATTGCTTATTATAAAGATAGTATTACGTACTTCCTATACTATAATATTTTACTCGTATCGATTCGTATCGAACGAGTGTGTTGAAATCCCCGTACTACCCTAATCCCAGCTTCTATTTTAATCTTCAACGCGAAGGGTAACTTATAATTATTTCGTCGAAAGATAGCTATTGCTTTCTCCTCCCTACTAATTTGTCGGTCGTTCGTTATAATAATAGTATTAATAAGTCGGCCTCCTATTCGCTCCTATTACTATTATTCCAATCCTTTTATTCTCTAATACTATAATCGTAGGAAGGCGAATTTGTACTAACCTTTTTAATAATTATTATAATTCTATAACCGATAACGATTCCCCGGAATAAACGATCTTATATTAATCTTTTTGCAAACCGTCGGCCTCCCCCAATTTACAATATAAATTGCTTGAGTAATTAATCCTCTACTTTACCTTAATTCCGCGACAATTTAGTTCCGACTCGTAATATTATTTAAATTTAGGCCGGTCCTTCTATTAAACCCGGTATTATTAATAGTATTATTTTCTCTATAACTAATGCTTTATTTCCTAGTAAATTGAGATAGTCTTTAATAATCGTCCTGTCCGAGAATTTATTACTACCCTAAACTTTACCCCCGAAATACAATTTATAATAAAATAACTGCAATACTATAATAACCGGTAAGGAAGATAATTCTAATAATAATGATAGTTCTTACAGTGGTGTCCTTAGCCGCGGTTTTAATAAGAAACTTTGGAAGCCCCTTAATAATATGGATAATATAACTAAAAGCGTTAATAATAATATAAAATAGTTTAAAACTAAAATATACAAATAGTTTATAACTTATATTAGAAATGTTTACGCTTAGGGTAATTGTATTAATGAACTTACTACTACCGTTGTAGGATTTGAATTTAATATTTCGTCCAATTATAAAGAAGTTATAAGGGCTATCGCTTTATTAATTATTAAAAAGATTAATCCCCCTCCGTTCAATAAGGGAAAGGGTAAAGTTATTAAAATATTAGAATACTTCTCCGATATTTAATTTAATAGATTTGATATTATTATAATTTATCGCCCTACTATTAACTTCGATAATCTTCCGGCTAGTAGTAACGCGGCTCCTAAATACGCTGCCTATACCAAACCGACCATTGAAGATTTTATTAAGAATTAGGATATCTAGTACATTGAAGTCCCCCTTTATATACGTGCCAATCCTAAAGTCCGCTAATATATACATATACTTTATAATTTTAATTATTATAATCCTTTACCTTATAATAGTAGTCTATTAGCCCGCCCGTATACCTATCTGTATAATAACCTTCGTATTACTAAAGTAGTAAATAATAATAAGGGATTTATTAAATAGAATTTTATAAATTAAATTAATAGATTGTGCGACCGAGATAATAGCCTTCGCTGGATATTTAAGAAGTAAGCCGCTATATATATAAAATATATATAGGAAATACGCGACTTCTATGCGAGGAATGCTTATGTAGCAGCCTATTTAGAACTATCCTATAATAAAGCTAGTAAGGCTGCTTCTGAATATTTAATTTAAAATAATATTAGTAAGGTTAGTAAAATTTCCCCTATTATTATTAAACCTCCTATTATTAGTAAGGTTGGAAGAGGTAGTAGTAGTCCTCCTATTACCCCTAATAATTACCCTATTGCTACTACCCCTAGCGACCCTAGTAATAATAGTAATAATAGTAATAATAGAAATAATAAGGGTAGGAAACTAAATTCTCTTTTTAAGTATTTTAATATATATAACCCCCGTTGTATTCCTATTACTCGCTAAGTTTTTAGTAAACCCAATAATAAGCCTAAATTTAAGTACAATAATATTAGAACTTTCAATCCTTTTGCCAACGATTTTAAGAATATAGGAATAATTAAGAACGGTAGTAGTATTATTTATACCAATGCTACTATATTTATTAATTGCTTTAATACTTTATTAGAAAACAATTACACTAGCTCTATTGAGAGATAGTTTATCCGTATATAGCCTACCTTTTTATAAAACGCGGCTTATATATAGTAATATAATTAGTTGGATCCTGCTAGAAGATAGTACTATTATAAGTCTTTAAGTAATTTTATTAAAGCCCTAGTAAAAAGATTTATACCTAATTTAATTATTAAAATTAGAAAATTCAATAAAGGTAAATTAACCCTCTATATTATTTATAAAAATAAAAATATAATTTCGATATATATTTTAAAGCAATTTCGTTTCGTCCGAACTATAGGTATCCTCTCTAAGAATAATAATAATTAGTATAGTATTATAGTCTAGATTTGGAATAGTATAAACGTTAATATTAAGACTATATTATATGCCCCCCCGTCCTTTAGTAAAATTAAATATTATTTCAAAGAGATTAAAAAAACTAAAGCCGTCCTACTTGCAATCGTTAGGGATAAGTACTATTCCCTTAATTCGTCTAATAATTATAAATATTCTTGCGGTAGAAATTTAAGCCGTAATTAGAACCGTGGTCGTAGCCCTAGCCGCTAGCGAGATAGTGACCGCGACCGTAGTGGCAATTGTAGTAACGACTTTAACTAATTTAATAATTGTAATGAACATAACCGTAATGACTGTAACCGGACACCGGATTGTAATGATTGCAATCGTACCCCCGACTATTGTAATTGTAATTACGACTGTAACCGTAGTCCCGATTATTATAACCGCGATTAGTCTTACGAATTAAGTAAGGAGCGTGCTTATTATGTTAAAGAGTAATTTAAGGATCCGGTTAATTTTGCTATAGAGGATTTGGAAGGTTATAATTCCGATAGTTTAGTTTACTATATATATAGTAACTAATTAACCTATTTTAAGTACTTTATAGTATTCGATAATATAAAAAGTAAAATAGGTTATACTAAGTATTATTAAACCTAGATCTCGTATATAGAAGCTATTCCGGCTATTATAAGTAGTACCGATTTTTATAAGTATAAAGATTATAAATAAAACTTCCCGTCCCGCAATTGCTTATTCGAATATTTTAATTATTACGATGAGAGCGATAGTATTTATAAAAAATAATTAGCAACCGCCTATTATATTAATTCAGTTACTACTATACCCTTTAAAATTTAAGATTCGATTCTTTAAAATAATAAGTTAGTAAAGAAGGGACTACTCTTAATTTTTATTTACCTTCGAATTATTATTAAAGCTACCCTAGAGGTTGAAAGAGTTAAAATTTGCGTAGATCCCGGCGCGGTAAAGATTATTATTAGCTGATCGTTCTTCGAGATTCTTTAATATTTAATATTAATAGAGTATTCTATAAGAATTAAGGAAGTTAACGGTAAACTGACTAGGTTTACTAAATAGGCTATATTTATTATTTACTTTTTAAGAAGGGATTTTGATAGTAAACTTACCTTATTAAAGATAATACTAACCGGCTAGGTAATTAATAAATTCAATTTTAATTTATTACTCGCTAATTCTTTTTTCTACCTCCGATAGGTATATATCAATTATTGTAAGGTTGAAGTTCGTTTCCTATAAGATAATTTTAATACTATATTCGAAGTATTTAAATTATTTAACCGATGCTTAGGAAAGGTGGTAATTGAGAAGAAGGTTATCCTACGGTTAGAAGAGGAGTATATAGTATTAGTTTATTATATTAGTTTATTTAAGGATAGGAACTTTCTCTTTAATTCTTTCTACCCTACTATTGTTAGTGCTATCCTTAATGCGCGTTCGCTTAAGGTAGTACTAATAAAGAATATAACGAACTAAATAATTATTATTCCCCGAAAATAGAAGATTAGTATAATTATTAAATATAATATAGATGGCTACTTTCTAACGTTTTGGCCAAGTATTTCGAGATTACTATAGTAATTTAGATACTTAGTATAATAGAGAACGACCCCCCCTTATCCGTTGTTTAAGTAGTAGAAATCGTATATTAAATATATTCGGTACCGGCCAACGTCGAATTCGATATCGATTTCGATAATATTATTCCTACGCATAACGTTACTTCGATAAACGAGCCCGCTCTACCTACTATTGCCCTAGAAACCTCTAAGCTTTTTAAAATATTAAATAAATAATTAACCTTCAGTATCCGTATAAATAATAAAGCTCTTAAGGTTATTATAAATAAAGGAAATTATATATTTGTAGGAAGTAGATAGGTATTAAGGCGGTTGGTAAAATTAGTTGAAAAATTTCTAAAGTTTTGGAAAGAAGAAGGTGTAGTTGATATTTTAGAAGAAAATATAATAAGAGTCCCCCTAGTAGACGGTTAGTAAAATTATAAGGTTGTTGTTCGTATATATTTGGTAAATTAGAACGATTAGGTAATTATTAATGAAATTTTTAATATATTATATAAATAAGGTAAAATAGATTGGGTAAAGTACGTTATCCCCTTTATTTATTTTGTATTTGTTATTTAGCAGGGAATTAAGTACGGTCCTAAAAGAAGGCTAATTATTAATTTAAAAGTATTTAATAGTTTCATTATCCCAAATAATTATTTATTGCCTTTGTAGGGTAAAATTATTATATTTATGCGCGGTAAGGTAATTATTATAGTTATTAACGTAGTCTCTTTCTTCTACTAATTTGGCGTTTAGTAGAAATATAGAGACCAATTTACTCTTATTACTTATAGAGGCCTCGAATTGCCTACGATTGCGTAAATAGGATTTAAAAATACGCCTATTTACGTTTAATAATTTATAAATATGCTATTCCGTAATTATAGAGACTATTATAGAGTTTATATTGATAATATTATTATTATATTAAATTCTATTAAAGATTATTTTAAATACTTAAACGCTATTTTCTTACTCTTTACTAGTAAGAATATTATTTTATCCCTTAAGAAATTGTACTTCGGCTACCTAAATATAGAATTACTAGGTTTTTATATAAATAGATTCGGTTTATTAACTACTAACGAATATATTAAGGTATTTAAAAACCTAACCTTCCTTAATAACCTTAAGGCTTTCGAATAATATATTAGTAGTATAGGATTCTTATATTACTTTATCCCGTACTATGCTTAGATTGTTGAACTATTTTAAATTCGGAAAGTTGCGCTCCTAACCGAGGGTCGTAAAACGGGTAAGGTAGAGGCCGGAAAGCTAGCCCAAAGAGTAGCCTATTGTACGTGAATTTATTATTTTCTAACCCTAGCCGAAAAGACCGCCTTCGAAGCTTTACAAAATGCTGTATATAATAACGGTACTATTTTATACTATTTAGATTTAGATTGCCTAGTATTTCTATAAATTAATAGGTCCCTTAAACGAGGTTTTAGCGTTATAGCTTTTTATATTAAAGAACCCTATAAATAAAAAAAAGGAATTATTATACTATTCTATTAAATCCTTTTTATAATATTTTTGAGCAAAGTATTAATTAAAATTAAAATAAGATACGGCCCGTTAGAATTAGAGGTCGTATATCTAATATAGGCTATTAAAAAAATACGAACTTAGTTCTACGTTTATACGAATCCTATTATAGTACTAACGGATTATTCGGTAATTAAAGGTATTATAGAATAAATGTTACTACGAATGATTTTAACTAATAGGGCTAATTAATGCTTAATCAACGCCTCGATTTATTTATTCGAATATAAATTAAAGGTCTTCTATATATTGGGCAAATTTAATTTTATACTAAATATTCTTAATTACTTAAAAAATAATTAGTAGTAATAAAAACCCCGACGGTACGCCCGTTTTCAATAATATTTAGACCGAAGACCGAATATTCTATTTGGATAACGTATAATACGTATTTTTTAAAGCGTTAATCAATTTTAAGGTCCGTAAAACCTATACGGCCGTCTACGCTTCTAATAAGAAATTTACTAAAGTTATAAAATATTTAAAAGAATATAAGGTAGTCTCCGAGGACGGAGATATTATTTTTTCTAAACCCGGGTATCCTTTCTTCTTAAAGGACGGCCTTATTTACAACCAATAGGTAGACGGAACTAAAAACCTTTATATCCCTTATAAATTTATTAAAGAAGTTCTAGAAGTAGCTTATAATAATAAGTACTACTTTGGGCGCAATCGTATAATATATAAGCTATAGGGAGTATTTTTCGTTAATAAGGCTTATTTAGTTAAATAATATTTAGAATACTACCTAGCGTACTAATTTAATTAAACCGATTATAATACGCCTATTGGCGACTACTAATTAATTTAACCTAAGAAGGCTTTACTAATAAGAATTATTTCTATTAATTTTATTATTAGCCTCCTAAAAGTCTTAATAACTAATATATTATAATAAATACCTAATCATAATACTTTTAATACCTTAATACCTATTATTAATAAAACGTTAAAAGAATCCCTTTTAATCCTTAATTATAAAACTTATACGGTTATCGAATAAGGAATTATTATAATCCGTATAATACTATTATACAATTGGGGATTTCCGATAGGTATTATTTCGGACCGAGACTATAAATTTATATTAGTATATTAGCGTAGTATATAGATTATAATAGGCATTAAACTATTTATAATAATAGTATATTACCCTTTAGGAAATAGAGGAGCCGAATATAAGAATAAAATAATTGAAATTATAATTAAATTCTACGTATTTATATACGACTTCGGTTATAATAAATTATTAATTATCCCTTCCTTATCATAGAATTTAAATAGCGTATTTATTAAGAACTTTAAGGCTTCGCTATATAAGTATCTATTTGGATACAAGCTGTTGGGACCCTTAAATATTCTTATTAGTAGGATTGAATTATTATATTAATTTATTAATAACCCTACTATTCGAAAGTACATCCGCTGGGAAGCCTAATTAATTATAGATTTTACTATTACTAATACTAAATTTTGCTATAATTTTAACTATTAATAATTGGAATTTAAGGAAGGGGATAAGGTATTTTTAAAGTTCAATTATAAATATTATTTGCTAGGACGTTCTTTATAAAAGACTTTTTAATAACGTTTAGGACCTTTCAAAATTATTAAGAAGGTCGGTCGCCTTATTTACTAATTTAAATTATTACCGAATATGAAAATATACCCCGTTATTTTAGTAGTATACTTTATTATAATACTTAATAATCAAAATCTATTTAGCTAGACAATTCCCCTACTAAGATTAGTAGAAGATTTGTAAAGCAACTCTAGCCCCGGCTTAAATTTAAACTCCGAGGCCCCTTGCTATAAGATCGAAAAAATCGCTACGTATAAATAGGTTAAAGGGAAGATTTGGTATTATGTTAAATAGAAGGGCTATAATTACTATAATAACTATTGGAAGGATACGAAGGATTTAAAGAAGCCTAAGGACGTTGTGGAGGACTATTAGAAATACCGCCCAGATGAGCGCCGATCCGGAGCAACCCGGTTATATATAGATGGCTAATATAGAGTCTACTTCGTAGATAAAAAGGACCGGAAGGAAGAGGAGAGAGAGCCCCTACAATACTCGCTAAAACGAAAGTGAGGGTATCCCTATTGAGGACGATAGGCTTCTCTTTGTGGCGCTGGGACTTAATACGGGATGTATTATATATATAATTAGATTCAATTGACTAGAGTAGATTTGGTATAACTGTAGTTATACTTATTACTGTTAGAGGCTTTAGCACGCTTAGGCACGTGCCTACTCACGTGCCTGGCTGCCCGGTCGCATGGACCCATCCTATAAGGTGGGCTAGTAATAAAATAAGGGAATTCCTATAAAGGGATTCCCGCGCAGGCCGGCCTTCGGCTACGCCTTTCTTCCTCTAACATCTTCTTCTTTAATATTACAATATGCACCAGCATTGTAATATTTAAAGACACCCGTGTTACCCTATCAGAGCGCTAGATAACCTTCACCTTATAGTTTGAGAGAGTGTTAACGTTATTAGTACTATAAGGATAGAGGAACTTATCTCATTATTAGATGAAGCGCGGATTAGATTTTAGGAGTAGTAGAGAGTAAAATAAAAAATAGCTACTAGTTAGTTGCTTTAATATAAGTATTTAATATCTAACTTAATTCTTTATTTTACTACTTTAATCTTATTAATTAATTTAGGAATATAAAGGTATTATAAAGTACGTATAAGTAGCGGAAAAGATGCTTTTTTAAAGCGTATTTAGAGTTGTATAAACTTATAAGTTTTGGACATTTTTCCCGAGCAATACCCTCTAGAAACAAGTAGAATATAATAATTTATAATATAGTATAGTAAATAATATAATTATTACCCCGCATCGGGAAGTATACGTTTATACTTCTTATTAATAACCGTTAAATACTACTTTTTATAATTAATATTCTATAACTATTTTTAATCTAAAATCAATAATGAAATACTATATATATTTAATATATTATTGTCATCCATCCTATATATTTTCTTTACGTATATTGCAATATAGAAGTCAATATTTCTAATAATATTAGAGAAATTTATAAGCTACTAATAGGCTACTTCCCCGCATTATTCGTATAAATAATGAAATAAAAAATAAAATATCCTATATTTATATTAATATAATAAAATCAACTATACCCTCCATCTGTATCTTCTATTTACGATTTTCATTTCAACTCTTTATTTATACGTCTTATTATAAAATCTATATAACGTATCATTCAAAATAAATTTACTTAAGTTAATACGCCCAAATAGGAAACCCCTACCCCTCCTTTCTATATACTTTCTTTACTCTTATACTTTTCTCCTTCTCTCCTTCTTCCTCTTTCAACCTTACAATTACAAACACTCGTACGTATCCCCTTATATACCTATTATCTATTTAATCTCTACTAATATTATTAATATATAAATAGTAGATTCGGTTATATTATATATCTTTCCCGCTACTATAAATATTTAAAATTATTTTATTAAGTAAATTTAAATAATAGTTAATATTATCATCTAATACTTAAACTTACCAACATACTATCCAACACACGTTCCAATAAAAAAGGAGGAGGAAATTAAGAGAAGGGAATTCCCAAAAAGGCCCGTATAAACTATAATACTTATCCGCTACTTTCAAAATACTAATAAATTATAAACGAATAATACAGAATTAAAGGAGGGTATACCTACCCCCAATAATAAAAAAGCAGCGAAAGAGCCTAGTACGGAGAGAGGCTTATTATATAGTATTTATATAATTAAAATTATTAAAAATATAAATAGTGAAATTTAGAAATACTTTAATTAAAAGGGTATAGGATCTATTTATTAGGAGTATATAAAGGGCAACTATACTACTTAATGCAAAATTATAAATTAAAAGCTTAATTACTATTTAATTAATATTAATTAATTTAAGTCCCGCCTTATATTATTCCTAAATTTAAAATTTGGTAGGAGAAGAATCGTATTATAAAACTTAAGAAGCATAGCGACAATTTTTTTAAGTAAGGTTAAGCCTTTATTAAAGAAATTTGTAAATAGAATAAAAATAATAATAGTAATAATACTATTTCTACTTCTTCTAGCCCTATTCCTACTATTTTCCAATAGGTTTTTAATATTATTCCTTATTCTATAATCCTTTAAAAGACTAATATTAAAAAATATAAGAAAAGAAAGTTAGCGCTATTTACCCGCTAAACTATAATTATAAAAGAGTAGTTACAAATAGCTTTTCTAATCTAAAAGTATATAGAGGATATAATTAGAAATATACGTACTATAAGAGATAATTTAGTAAATTTAAATCGAAATATTTTAGAATTATGGGATAATGATTAATTCGCTACTAATATATTACTACCTAGGCTTTTTTAGGCATTCTATTTATACTTATAGACGAACCTGAAATTAAATTTAAAGTTAAGCGTAAGAATAAGGAATATAAAAATAAGGAGGAGTATAATAAGGATAATAATTATAATAATAATAATAGTAATAAGAGTAGTAGAATTAATAATAAGGACCTCTTTACTACTACTAAATAGTTAAAAATATATTTATTAACTATATTTTTACTATTCTAATAGGATTTTCTTTTCTTCCTACAATTCCAAAGGGCTTTTTACCTATTATCTTACTTTTATATAATTAACTACCCTAATACTTTCCCACACTATTTGAGCACCGAAATAAATAATATAGACTTTAAAATAATAAGAAGAAAAATAGTAATCCAATAATAGTAACAAGAATAATAAAATTTTTTGATAATTATTACAAATATTAAATAACGTTTTGAATATATAAAACTTAATTTAAATATAGTAAATTATAATACTTAATATAAGGTCTTTTAATATTATATATAACTATATAATAGTTTAAGGCAAGATTCTTCTAGTTATATACATACTATATAAAAAGTTTCAGAAACTTAATTCAAACTTTGTATTATACATAATAACGCTAGCATAGTTATCATAATGCCGGCCGCCAGCTCTTACGAGCCCGCAACTTTAGCGCGCACCACCCGCAACATTCGCGCGCTAAGCGCGATTACAGAAGTTATAAGTAATATTGGTGTTTATCCGTGCGGTGGCTAGAGTTGAGGCTAGAAGGGGGGGAGTGGGGCACATTTTTGGGACTTGGATAGACCCCCTAAGCATGACCAGGTTCTTTGAGAATGCCACCCTCCCAAAAGTTCGATAATTCAACCAGCTTCCGGTTCGGTGTCCTCCAGTTGTCCATACCTAATCACAGCCGTTGCTTGGCTTCAAAGACACTTGCTCTTTTTAGCCTGCTCGTCTGTGCATTGATGCCATGCCTCTAGGTAAATTTGGCTTGGTCGGCGATAACGTTGAGACAAGAGTCCAATATCGATCATGACTTGCCAAATTTGAAGCACGCCCAATGACAGTCGCCGGCCGTGAGGGACTGCTGCTGTTGGTCCAGGAACAGAAGAATCCTTGATGTGATGCTCCAACACCATTCCCGAAACGTCAGGTACCTCTCGAATCTCCCGCTCTCGGCCAGTCCAATCATGTCGTCCATGTCGAGTTTGGATCGGCATCTCTTGCTTTGCTGAGAGGCTGACTCGAACAGACAGACAACTCGGGAGGGCCCGTTCTCACGTGTGGGTTCTTGCTGGAGACCAGAGGGTGGTATCGATGCTGGACGGCTGTAAATCCCAACCCGGAAGGTGGGTGATTGTCGTCCTGCCCAGATCGATGTTACGCGCCGCGACGCCGAGACTTCATGATCCGGCTCTGCGTCTGCGGATCGACACTCTGTCAGCACCTCCATCCAACGCCCAGTATCAACAAGAGCGGCTTCTCTTTTTTCGGAAGGTCGTTGGAGCATCACGATGGAGGGGACTTGAGGAGGAGGAGGAGGAGGAGGAGAGGAAGAAGAAGATGAGAAGGACATCTGGTGGCAAAAGTCGAGGATAAATATCATCCAGATCATCCCCCGTTTCCGATTCAATCTCCTCATCACTCCAACCATCCAGCCTTCCTTCAATCCTTCCTTCTCGTCTTCCATCCTCTCAACGGTTCCCGGCCTTTCAAACACCAGCAAACATGAAGCTGTCCGCTGTCCTCGCTCTCCTGCCTCTGGCCATGGCCGCCCCCTCGGCGCCCATTGACAAGCGCGCTCCCATTCTCGAGGCCCGCGCCGGAACCCAGGCTGTTCCCGGCAAGTACATTGTCAAGCTCCGCGAGACTGCTTCCGACGACGACCTCGACAAGGCCGTGAAGAAGCTCGGCAACAGCAAGGCCGACCACGTCTACAAGCACGCCTTCCGTGGCTTCGCCGGCCGCATCGACGACAAGACCCTTGATGAGATCCGCTCCATCCCCGAGGTAAGCCTTCTGTCCTCCGCTCTGTCCTCTGCTTTCGAGCATTGGCCGGCATCTCTAACACCCAACAGGTCGAGTACGTCGAGCAGGAGGCCGTCTTCACCATCAACACCTACACCTCCCAGTCCTCCGTCCCCTCGTGGGGTCTCGCCCGTCTTTCCTCCAAGACCAAGGGCAAGACCACCTATGTCTACGACAGCTCCGCTGGTGCCGGAACCTGCGCCTACATCATCGACACCGGTATCAACACCGCCCACAGCGACTTTGGTGGCCGCGCTACCTGGCTCGCCAACTACGCCGGCGATGGCATCAACTCGGACGGAAATGGCCATGGCACGCACGTGGCAGGTACTGTCGGAGGAACCACGTATGGTGTGGCCAAGAAGACGAATCTCTATGCCGTCAAGGTGCTCGACTCCAACGGGTCCGGCAGCAACTCGGGTGTCATTGCCGGCATGAACTTTGTCGCCCAGGACGCGCAGAGCCGCAACTGCCCCAACGGCACCGTCGCCAACATGTCCCTCGGCGGCGGCTACTCGGCCTCCACCAACAGCGCCGCTGCCGCCATGGTCCGGGCCGGTGTCTTCCTCGCTGTCGCCGCCGGCAACGACGGTGCCAACGCCGCCAACTACTCGCCCGCTTCCGAGCCCACCGTCTGCACTGTCGGCGCCACCACCTCGGCTGATGCCATTGCCTACTACTCCAACTACGGCACCATTGTCGACATCTTCGCCCCGGGTACTTCCATCACCTCGGCCTGGATCGGCTCCACCACCGCCAAGAACACTATCTCGGGCACTTCCATGGCCACTCCCCACATCACCGGTCTCGGCGCCTACCTCCTCACCCTCCTCGGCAAGAAGTCTCCCGCTGCTCTCTGCTCCTACATTGCCAGCACCGCCAACTCTGGCGTCATCTCTGGCATTCCCTCCGGTACCGTCAACAAGCTTGCCTTCAACGGCAACCCCTCCGCTTCTTAAGCGGTTTTTTCTTTCTTTTCCCCCTTTACCCAAGTTAAAAGAAAGAGACGCAGTCTGGGAAGGATGCGCATCGCGTAATGGTTGATGATTGGAATGATATGATGGATGAAGGAAATGGATGGATGATGAGTCGAGGTAGTGACCAGATTTGAAGGCTCTGGTGCACAAATCTCTCACTCAAAAAAAAACAAAAGTGAGGGATTCTTTTTCTGGATGCACATTTTTGGAAGGATTGGGCATGTAGATACTAGTTTCCCTCTCTGCTTCTTTTTCGCTAGATCTTTCCAGCTTGGAACGGATCTTGTTCGAGGGTCTTGGCCAGGCCGTTTACTCGAACTGTTGGCAAGGATTGGTTTGGAGTGAATGAATAAAAAGAGTCAAACATCACTTGATTGTTTTGCCTGGTGATTTTGGTGATGACTGCTTTGCTTGATTGTCCTAAGTCGTCTTCTTTTTGTCGCCGCTGAGAGTTTTCGATGCTGTGCTAGTTGGAAGGGAGTGGTCTAGAATTGAAGAGCAGTGCTGGCCAAAATGTCGCGGGAGAAATAGAACAAACCAACGCCAGATCAATGACGCTAAACTGGATCGATGTCGCGGCGTGTCCTGGTCCATCAGTAACTCGACGAGCCGAGTTCGGACTGAGATGTCGCCCTAACGCATCTTGCGCAAAGCTGGCAGGGTGACTGATAGCGGGATAACTGACCCGGTAACTGGAATTGGACCCCCTCCATCCACAACGCCAAAATCCGGACTTCGCCAAGGAGGCGCACAACGGACGACCAATGGGCAAGTCTCCGCGCGAAAGCCGTCGAGCAACATCAGGAAAAGACGAGTGATGGCTTTTGTATGATTGGAAGAAAAATCACGTATGAAACAAGTGGCGTAGATGTCAGCCCAACAAGTCCTTCCTCATCCGCTCAATCGGGATCAGGATGGCGCGAGATGACTGCTCCGAACACGTCTTGCTCAAGGCTCCAGGTGTGGTGACACGCATCTAGGATGGCGTTGAAGATGACAGGTTGACAGATTGACAAAGGGTTGAAGGGAAACGGGATGGGGCATGGAGGTCGAAACGGAAGCAGCCGGGACAAATAGACAAACGAGTGCAGTAAATTCAATAATGTATAAACTTCTCGCCTGTCACTGTCAAAGTCAAGATCATGCTCTATCATGTCATCGCCGTATCTAGACGCCTCGTGCCCACAGGGCGGGCCATCAAATGCCGTGCCGATCAGTGTCCAACATGGATCGCCATCATCGTCAACTCCTTGTATAGGCCATGAGACCAATGCTGTATGTGTAAACAGTTCTTCTTCCATGCTTTCCATGCAAGTGAGCAGTGGGTATCGTAGAGGTATCAATCATGTCGCAAAAAAAAGCAGCAACGCAATAACCAAGAGAGAAAAGAAAAAGAATGAAGCAACGCAAAACCAACTCCTTCTACTGCCGCGCACATCCAAAAGACTCATGCAATCCCCGCCATCAATACCAACTGCTCTTCTCTCCATCCTCAATGCTCCACAGCATCGTACACTTGTCTGTCTGGCACACCTTCCTCCTCTCCAAGTATTTGAATTTGGGCCCCAGCGGTCCGACAATGTAGTGATACTCGCCAAACAGCCTCCACTGCCTATAGTCCGCCAGACTATAGACGTCATCACCCCACGCTCCTTCAAAGTGGAACCAGCTTGTTGGAGCCTTTGGATTATCCGCCGCGGGGACCAGGGAGGTGTACTCCTTTGGAGGATCGGAAGGGTTGCCAAGGTAGGGCGACTGAGGGGATGAGGGTGACTCGGTTTCGTTCAGCCCGGCCTCGTAGTCGTACCAATAGCTGTAGTGGTTGAGAGCAGGGTCCCAGAGAGGACCGCGGTCGGTCACGTCCTTCAGAAGCTTGAACGGCAAGACGTAGGGGTGCAAGCCAGGCGTGGCATACATGGCGTGACTTCCTACCGCCGAATAAATCACCGGACGGGGTGGTTTGCCGTTGGGTTGAGCCTTTTTCTCCAAAGCAGGCCAAGCGTAGGCCTTTCCGCCGGCGTGCTCGGACAAAAACATGGCTTTCGGGATCCCGTTATCGAAGCGCACCATGCAGTGCTCCCAGTCGCCAACGTGGTTGCCGAAGCGGATGCCCAGCACGGTTTGCCCCAGATTGTACGAGTAAAAGAAGAACCAGAAGGCGTCCAGAATGCCGGCCCCTTTGTCGACAATGATGAGCACGGCGGGGCCATTGGAATAACCGCTCGGGTTGGGCTTGTTCTTGTCTCCGTCGGAAGGGGTGCCGCCAATGGGACGCTGCGGCTCATCGTCACCCTGCATGAAGCGCTTCTCGCGACGCCATGAAGGACCGCCCTTGCGATACCGAGGAGCGACGATCCGGTTCGGCGGGTGCTGTTTGTCGGCGTCCCACCACGTGTTTCCGTCCGTAGGCACAGTCGGGTTGTTTCCGGGGATTTTCTTGTCGGGGTTTCCGTCGTGCTCATCATCGCCATCGTCATCCTCATACTCGACGGGGATCCCGGCTCGGTTGTGGAGCCACTCGGGCCTGGATTCCACATCATCCATGCTCGTCAGAAAGACGGTGCCGTTCTTGGCGTTGAGCCTAGCGAGACTCCCCAGATCAAGTTCGTCCGTCCTGTTCACCGACCCGTCTTCGTCGTCGAGGAGGCCCATGTGCTTGACGTGCTCAGCCATGTCGGAAGGCCAAAAGTGTTCGCCCGAGTAGAGGTGGACGAGCGGCGCATGATCGAGGACGTACTGGGGGACTTTTTGGAGCGTGTCGGAAGACTCGGATCGCTTGCGCTTGAGGTCGACATGGCCTGGCGCATGTTCCCAAGATTCGGTGCCGGGCTTGTTGACAAAGACTGCTGCTCCGTCATCATCCCAGTCACCAACACCGAGCACTTTGGCTATCTCTTCCTTCATGTCGAGGTCAGAGCTGGGACCCCGACCCCAACCGGGCAGAGTGGGCGCATCCCATCGGATGTGCTGAATACCGCATAGGCCAAGGTATCGGCAGACCTGGCGATCGAACCAGTATGGGGAGGAGTTGACCCATTGTCTGTCTCGCTTTCGTTCTTCGGCATCGGGAGGCGTAGGGTTGAGGTAGCGCGGGAGGAAGGTTAGGACCAAGACGGAGAAGATGGTGAGGGCGGTGACGAAAATGGTCGCCCGCCGGAGGGTGTAAATCATGTCTATCGGAACCTTCGTATGGTGTGCGAAGGTGTGTTGAAGTAGGACTACTAAAGATGTTGTTCTATCAAAGTGGCCGTGTTCATAGATGTCGAGGAGAAATGTATTCGTATTCGATTGTTGGTCGAGGAGACCCGTGGCTCGGCCAGGTGACAAGATGGATCTGACCTGCAAGGGACGAAGGGATGCCGGGTGTCGGACTAAGCGGCGGTGGTGCAACAGGTGAGACCAGACCAGGGTATTTTTGAAGATGAAAGGGAGACGAGGAGGAAAAACACGAATGGATCGGAAGAGGAAAAAAAAGGTAGGATCAACAAACCCTCCGCACCCTCCGCCCAACCAATGTGGTGCGTGGAACTGAGGACACACAAACAAGGAATGAGTGATCAAGTGGGAATTGGCGACGGGAAGGACGGAAAATGGAAGACTAGAGGTATCGGGGAAAATATGGGATTTTTTCAAAAGAATCCGGAGAACAAGAAGAACCTACAGACGGGACTGGAATCATTGCAGTCCCAGTGTCGGTGTCAGTGTCAGTGTCTCAGTGTGTCAGTGCCACAGCGCTCCGGTCAGAGTGGGGTGGCTTTTTCAGGGTGCATCAGGTGCCGTCAGCACTGGTCGCCAGTGGTTCACACTGCTGGAATGGCCACCTGGAAATGCCCGGGTGGATTTGCGTCTTTGCGTCACGTCAGCCAAGAAAGGCGGACCTGCGCCCAGAACAAATCGAAGGCCAATCCACGCATCCGGCACAGTCCCATTGCGGTTAAGCGACACGTACCTGATACCTTTCAGTACCAGGCCATTGCGTGGGCAGAGCGTGTAATAAACCCTGATTTTCAGCACATGTACGTGATGAAATACCTCACTTATGCAAGCAGATCACCATGCGTCCCCCACTTGGCCTGCTGTATGTACACTACCTGTCAATGGAGAGATTGTCCGATGCTGCCAATTACAAACCAACCAACGCCAACGCCTTGCCAATACTGCCATCATGGAACTTGTCTCTCTACCGATCCCTCACGCTTCTCCCCCCGCCCCGCTGCTTCCGTCCCCGTTCCCAGTGGCATACTCCAATGGGTTCGGCGCCCAGCTGGTTTGCGGCACGGGCGGATACAAGCTCGTTGAGCTGTCCTGGGGCTGCTGCTGCTGCTGCATCTCGACTCCAGCCAAGACATCCGGCGCAACGGGATGAGCCGGAAGCGTCTCTTGTGTCTCGAGCGGCTTGAGGACCGCTTTCCGAGCCCGCGGCCTCCGCACCCTCTTCTCCATCACCCCCAAGTGCTTGCCCGTCTGTCCAGGCTCCGTCCTCGGCATGTAACCGTTCTCTTCCATCGCCATCCTGCTTTCCCGGTCCTTTCGAAGCAGTCCCTGCCTCCACCGCTCGTACCTCCCATGTCCGTTTTTTAGTCGTTTTCTTCTGCGTTCTTCGCCCTCGTCCTCCATCATCAGTTTGTTCTGCCTAGTCTCTAACGGACGGATGGTGACTGAGTCGGTTTCGCCCAGCTTGCGCTTCAGCATGATCAAATCCTCCAGAAAGTGCGCCTGTGGTTGTCGCTGGCCCGTCTTGTCTCCGCCAATGTGCACGTAGACGCCGTCTGGGCGCTTGTACCGCTCGGGAATATCGTCGTTGCCCCAAGCCGTGATGCTACTGATTTGTTTGGTGAGGTTGTTGCTGTTTTGTTCCGCCATCTGCTTCGACTCCAGCCGGACTTCTTTGAAATTGATCCGTGTCGCGCTAGCGGCTAGGAGGTCGAGTTTTCCGTCGCAAAGCTTGCGCAAAGCGGGCATAGGGGCGTCTGAGTCGTGGGGTGTAAAGATCATTTCTGTTCCAATGTTTTCGCACCACGAGCCCTGGAAAATGTGGTTGCGGTAGGACACCATGGGTTCTTTGGAGTGAAGGTCGAGGATTTGGATCGTTTCGATTTGGTGGGGTGTTTTGGAAGGTGGTTTGGGTTTCTCGGTGCTGGATGGTTGCTTGCTCGTCTCTACAGGTTTCGGGTTGTGGCTCTCGTCTGGTCCTCGTAGTGCTGGGTCAATCACATCGTCCGTCTTGGGGTCAGCGTTCTGAGTGGCAGTCGAGGGGGCAACGTTTTGGGCAGCTGTGTTCTCGGCGACAGAGTTGTCGAGGTTTGGCATGTCTTTTCCCGGCTCGTCTTCGTCATCGGGACCTTGTAGTTCGGCTATAAGGTCTGGGTTCATCGGACGGGGTTCGGATGTATTGAACAGCGGGTTGTACCACACTCGGTAACCATTGCGGGTAGCATTGACAATATCATCTGGGTGTTTCTCGAGAAAGTCGCGGACCGAGAGGTCTAGGGTAATATAGTATGTCTGGTCTGGTCAGTAAAGTCAAGCAGGGGAGCCGAGGAGATGATGACGGACTTCTGTTTCCGTGGTCGAGTACTCGTACTCCCACTCGTCCTCGTCCTCGACTGGGGGTGCTGTAGAGTCCATGGCGCTGTCCTTTGATCAAGCTGACCGAGCAGATCGGGGTAGTTGTGAGAGGAAGGGCGAGAGGGGCTGGTGAATTACTGTGATACTCCAGACAATCAAACCGGACTTTGATGCGGTAGTCGTACCTCTAGGGAGTAAGATGCCGAGTTTCCTCGTGCTAATCGCCGCGCCTGTCCCAGGAAATTTTAGCGGTCAAAACTGGCAAAATCGAGTGCCATGTGCCTGCAGGACGGGAACAGCGGAGTGCCTTCCCCACTGCTACAGTGCTCGCTAACAAGGGCAGCCACTGATGGGATGCCCCGCCGTCACCAGCGACGGGGACTGGACCCCTCGGAGATTTCCACTTTGCAGTGACTCCATTCAGACTCTGACTGTTTGGTTCTGACGCGCCAGGTCTTGACTCACCAGCAACCCAGAACAAAACCCGTCACGTTGCCAGGTGGACAAACCGGGGAAACCAGACAACAAACAAACAAGATGCCGACCGTTCACCTCCTGGATTACGTCGCCGGCAACGTGCGCAGCTTGGTCAATGCCATTGAGAGGGTTGGCTACAGCGTCGAGTGGGTCCGGTCGCCGGAGGAGGTTGCCAATGCTGATGTATGCGCCAACCTGAATAGCTTCACGGAGACCTGACAATTGCTGACACGAACCTGTCCCATGTGGTAGAAACTCATCCTCCCTGGCGTAGGCCACTTTGGCCACTGCCTCTCCCAGCTCGCCTCCGCCGGCTACATGGCCCCCATCCGCGCCCACATCGAGTCCGGCAAGCCCTTCATGGGCATCTGCGTCGGCCTCCAGGCTCTCTTCGAAGGCTCGTCCGAAGACCCCAACTGCCCCGGTCTGGGTGTCCTCCCCGGCAAGCTCGACCGCTTCGACGACACCTCCAAGTCCGTCCCCCATATCGGCTGGAACGACGCCTCGTGCCCGACCAACCCCAACCTCTTCAGCCTCAACCCCGACTCCAAATACTACTATGTCCACTCGTACAAGATGCCCTACACCAAGGGTCAGCTCGAGTCGCAAGGGTGGGCGGTGGCTACCGGTGTTTACGGCGGCGAGACCTTTGTTGGCGCCATTGCCAAGGGCAACGTGATGGCCACCCAGTTCCACCCTGAGAAGTCGGGTGTTGCCGGTCTGCGCGTCATCCGGGCCTTCCTCGATGGCTCTGGCGCCGCTGCTCTGGCTTCCCACCCTCCCCAGGAGGTCCCCAACGCCGGCGACGATGCCCTCGTCAGCAAGGAGGGTCTCACCCGTCGTGTCATTGCCTGCTTGGATGTGCGCACCAACGACCAGGGCGACTTGGTGGTGACCAAGGGTGACCAATACGACGTCCGCGAAAAGTCTGACGACCGCAACGTCCGCAATCTCGGCAAGCCCGTCGAGATGGCGCGCAAGTACTACGAGCAAGGCGCCGACGAAGTGACCTTCCTCAACATCACCTCCTTCCGCGACTGCCCCGTTGCCGACCTTCCCATGCTCGAGATCCTCCGCCTGACGTCCAAGACCGTCTTCGTCCCCCTGACCGTCGGCGGCGGCATCCGCGACACCGTCGACACGGACGGCACCAAGGTCTCCGCCCTCGAAATTGCCACCATGTACTTCCAGTCGGGCGCCGACAAGGTGTCCATTGGCTCCGACGCCGTCATCGCCGCCGAGGAGTACTACGCCTCTGGCAATACGCTCTTTGGCAATACAGCTATCGAGCAGATCAGCAAAGCCTACGGCAACCAGGCCGTCGTCGTCTCGGTCGATCCCAAGCGCGTCTACGTCCCCAAGCCCGATGCCACGAGACACCACACCGTCAAGACTTCGTACCCCGGCCCCAAGGGCGAGGAATACTGCTGGTACGCCTGCACGATCAAGGGCGGGCGCGAGACGAGGGATCTGGATGTGGTCGAACTCACGCAGGCCGTGGAAGCCATGGGCTGCGGCGAGATTCTGTTGAACTGCATCGACAAGGACGGCACCAACAGCGGGTTTGATCTGGAGTTGATCAGGCAGGTCAAGGCGGCCGTGAGGATACCGGTTATTGCCAGCTCGGGGGCGGGCAACCCGGGTCACTTTGAGGAGGTGTTTAGGGAGACGACGACGGACGCGGCGCTGGGAGCAGGCATGTTCCACCGTGGGGAGTATACAGTACAGCAGGTCAAGGAGGAGTTGAAGGCGAGGGGGTTGGTGGTCAGACAGTTTGAGGGAGATCTCTGAGTGATATAGACGATTTTGCATAGCATATAGAAATGAGATACGATGTCACAGTCAAGGAGCGTGGCGTGGCGTGGCATGATACAATGTGTATTCCTATCAATCAGCCCGTGAATTGAAATCTCCGTTCAACAAACCGTCCATCAATACAATCCAGAATATGAGTCATTTCTCCAAACTTGATGCCATCCAGCACCTGACATATGCTCTGAAGCCGGTCAACGAAGAAGTGGAAAAAAAAAGAGTAACGAAAACGCACAACTGATGGAAGAAACAGAAACAAAGAAACAGACTTTTGGAGATGATGCAAAGAAATCCCGCTTTTCACAGCCAGTTATTCCTCCCCTCCTCCACAATTCTCCATGTTCCTCCTTCCGTCTCTTCCCCTTCCTACCCAATGTATCCACATGACACTTCCATTCAGTCGTGTCCCATGTGGATTACATCTCCATGCCCATGAACAGCCACCTCCCACTCACTACGTCACAAGTCTTTCCTCCAGACCAAAAGTCGAAAGTCGTCATGGAAAACCCGGCCCATTGCAGCCCCTTCATCAAGGGCACCGCTTCATGGTCGGGGATGGAACGGTCGAGGCAGATGACCATGTGGGAGCAGGCGAGGGGGCCGTCGGCCAGTTCGATGAGGGCTACAAGACTATGTGTCTGTTAGTAGGTGTTGGACAAGAAGGAAAAGGGGGAAGGAAGGAACAACAAAGGGGGAGACTACATACGCCTTCTTCAAATCCCTTCCCTCCACGCTCTGCTCGTCGAAAAAGATCATCAACGTCTTCTCCCCGGTTTCCATATCCTCAGCGACAACCCCGCGGAAGCTGGTGCCGCCCACGTAATCCCATAGTTCGATCCAGGAGTCGACGCGGTGCGATCCGTTTCCGGCGACACCGCGAGCATCGAAACCATGACGACTCATCAGGTGTTCATCCCCGATTGGATAGTCGTCGTATGGCGGGGTTAGAGGAGTGTTGTTGTTGTTGCCGTTGGTTGTTGTGGTACCATGGTTGGGATGGTTGTTGCAATTGTCGTTGTCGTGATAAACACTAGCCAGGCCCGAGCCCTGCACCGCCGAGTTCTTCTCACCTAGAAGCACGGCGCGCAATGTCTCGCAAAAGAACCTCTCACATTCTTCCCTGATGCGTAGTGTTGCCCCCCCTCGACGTCCCCTGCTGTTGTTGTGATTACTGCTCCCGGCACGTCTGTTGTTGTTTCCAGCAGATGACTTCGCCTTGGCAGTCACCGCCAGCTGGTTGGTTGACGTGTCGAGGGCCGCGAGGGGGGGGCTTGATGGCGGCGATGGAAGTCCCGTCGAAGGGACCTCAGGAATACCACTCGGCCCCTGTGACGCCGGTAGTGCAGTAGTGGAGGCCCTTGAGCTGGGCCCCCGGGTAGTTGGAAACAAGGTAGCAGCTGGCGAGGATGTCGACGGCCTCCATCTGGTGGGGAGGCGAAGCGACGACGTCCTCGCCGTAGTAATTACTACTACTACTAAAAAGATTATCCTGTTTCATTGGCGCCATTGCTGAGAGATGCCACCTTGTCGGCTTTGCGATGATTTTGAGGGGTGGTAGTTGATGAGGAGATGAGAATTGGGCGATGGACGACGGATGTCGTTGATGGAAATCGATGTCGATGGATGGCACTAGGTCGTAGGCGATGGTCTTGGGTGAGGTCCGGTGTTGTCGATGTTGACGAGGGAGTAGATAGTGTAGTATGGATGGTTGGGTGATTGACGGATAGATAGGTAGATATACCGTAGCAGCAGGGGTTGGGCAATTGATGAAGATAAGGTGTTAATTGGGCTGCAGGGGATTTTTTTTCTTTTAGGGATGGATTGGCGTGGCGGTGTGGTTGGCTGTTGTGGTCAGTCAGGGTGGAATTGGGAGGAAATGGATCGAGACTTTTTGTTGTCTAGTGTACTGCTGGTCTAAATGCCGTGCAAGTGCTGCTGTGACTGTGACCAGATTTGTGAGGAGGTTCGGGGGGCAAATTGCGTTTATTCACCACTTTACAAATGAGGAAACAATGGGGTAATCTGCCCAGTTCTGCCTTTTTGTGCCATCACGTGGTCGCTTGGCTCGCTGACTGCAAGTCTTGGCTGAGCGCAGCATTGGACTTTCACTTGTTGCCTGTTTCCCTGTCTTGGCATGTGCTCTTCCAACTTGGATGTTTTCCCCACCCGAAACGGCCGTAGCTCTCGCTTGCTGTGTCATCGCAATCTCGAGATGCCTTTTTTTATTTTCTTTCCTTTTCTGTACGACAGGCCAAGTCCTCGACAGCTGAGTGCTTGGATGTACGACAAACAGTGTACTCCATTTCATTAGTACGTAACGCAAAACCAACCTCAAAACGAGCCCTCGGCGCCAAGTCAACGAACAGACAATAAGAGACCCCCCCTTGAAACACTCTGGAACCCCCTTCCTCGGAGGGATCAACCTGGGCCTATCGATAAGGACGACAAGTCTCCTCGACCGAGGGCGGGGGGCTTCGGTGATCCTTCAAGACGTGTAACTCTCCGACTGAACCGGACACAAATATCATGTTGGGCACTTTCACTTTGACGATTTGCATTGGGTCTTGGTGCATAGTCGTCTATCCAGCAAACATGGACCTTCAAACAGATTCAGGCGGGAAAGGTTTGACATGGACAAATCGACCATTCAATGCCAACGGTTCATGAATCGTGACATGGTCCGAGGATTGGGTCGAGAAGAAGGTCAGAGTGTCAAAGGAGGTGCGAGGCATGACACGCCCGGATGACCACCTTCCCCCTCCCCTCCAACCTGACACCTACCTAGGACATGGCTTTGAAAAGGTAGGTATATCTTATGTCGATCGCTCCCGCGTCTTAGTTTGTCGTTTGAGTTTGGATTCCTTTGTTTGCTCGAGTCTGTTCAAGAGTTCAGTTCTTTCGCTATTCGACTTGGTGATCTTCGGTTCGCTGCTGTCGAGTAACCTCAAATTCGCCTTTGGAGATTTCGAATCCCGTACATGTATCACAGCACCGGCCAACGACACCATGGTTTTCAACTTGTACACCACCACCAGCTCGCCGGCTTCGGCCGATAGTGGCCCAATCAAACCCATCTACCTCCTCCCGAGTTTCAGCTTGCCCTTTCGTCGACGCAGGCCATCCACCACACTCACTCAGATATACGATCACCACCTGGATGACACCGAGTCCGATGGCCTCCCATCGCTTTCCAGTTCTCCCGATTCATTCACCACCGCCTTTTCATCCGATTACACCCCGATTCAGCCAACATCTACCCGTCTCTCCCCCACCCAACCCGACATCCTTCGCTGCGCCCACTGCGCGTCCGACATAGCCTTCACTTCTCAAATCATCAGCAAAGGCTTCCACGGTCGCCACGGCCGGGCGTATCTCGTCTCACCCACACCTTCCCAGGCCCCAGGCCCCCATCCGTCTCCTGGCTTCTTTTCTTCATTCACCCATCACCCGTCATCTGCTGTTATCAGGACGACAGAACTGCCCAACATCTTTACAGAAGCCCCCGAAATCCGCCGCCTGGTAACGGGCCAGCACACCGTCGCTGACATCACCTGCGCCGTGTGCGGGACCAAGCTGGGGTGGAAGTACGTGGATGCAAAGGAGAGTTCACAAAAGTATAAAGTCGGGAAATTCATCTTGGAGTGCGCGAGGGTCGTGACGTTTCGGAGTTGGGAGGATTCGCCCAAGGACAAACAGGAGGGTGTCGTCGGTGACATGGGGAAGAATGGAAGGCAGGGGTTGGTCAAGGGTGCGAGTGGAAGACGGAAGCAAAAGGAAGCAGCTGCGGAGGAGACGGCGGTGCAAGGTGAAGAACAGGAACCCGTGTCGCCAACTGCGGTGGTCTTTGACTCGGACGACGACTCTGAATGCGATGACATCTTTGCTGGAGTCTGGGATGCCGAGACCGTGGCTAAGCGGCGCAAGGGGAAGCTGACCAACATGAAGCCGCCTAGGGGAGGGCTTTTTTGGTCGTGATGGATGACCTGTTAGCCGGAGTTGTTTGCTTTGGTCGGAGAATGTGGGAGTATGGGCTGCCATTACTAGAGGTAGTCTCATGGAGCTGAGCTGAATACTGAGCATCGTGCTCGAATTCCGGCATAGTGGCGAGCGTTTGCATGGATGTCAAGTGGTCATCAGATTATCATTTGGACCTTGGCTTGACGAATGGAGTGTGTGTTCCTAGCCAGAGCGAGTCTTTTGGGCATTTCATTTGGACGCTTCATGGCTGGTATGGTGGTCTGGCTGCAAGTGATGCTTTCCGTATCGGATCTCCAGAACTACGGGACTACCTAGGACGGGGCGTTTTGCGGTTATTTGGAAGCTCTACTTCACCTAGAACGTTGATATGGGTTTTCCGTTTTCTTGATTCACTGGCTTCATTTTTTCTTTTTACTCATAGCGCTGGGGCACGGATGGGGATACGATATAGGGCATCATCGGTCTAAGGCATTAGCGCAAGGTGTTCGAACCGGTGTGGAACTGGTATCACATAATGGGTATTTCGAACTGAACTAATTGACTACTTTCCAACATCATCCACTGACACAAAATGTGTCCACGCATGACGCCGCACTCCATGCTGCTACTCCTCCCAACAGCAACCACTCCCGCTTAAGCGTTCATGGGCTCCTCAGCAACGTAGTGCAGATAGGCACCCAAGAGCTTGATGCCCTCAATGTAGTTCTTCTTGTCAAGCTTCTCATTGATGGAGTGAGCACCGTCGGTGGAGCTTCCCATGGGCAGCAGAAGGACGTTCTTGCCAGTAGCCTCCTCGAAAGTCAAGGTGATGGGAATGGAACCACCCTCGCGAGTGAAATCGGGCTTCATGCCCCAGACACGCTCGGTAGCCTTGGCAGCAGCAGCAAAGTTCCAGTGGTTGGGGCTGGCCTTCCACCACTTGCCGCAGTGCTGGGCGTACACATTCATGGTGTTCTTGGAGCCGAGCTTCTTGAACACCTCGTTGACGTGATCGTACACGCACTGGTTGGTCTTCTCAATCTCCATATCGGGCACGGTGCGGATCGAGAACTTGCCGATGACCTTGGCGGGAATGACGGTCTTGGCTCCAGGGTTGGAAAAGGCACCCTCGACACCGTGAATGGACAGGGAAGGGAAGCGCCAGCGGGCCATGAGGGTCTTCTTCTTGTCCTCGAAGATGGTGGTCTTGCTACCGAGCGACTCGTGGAGGGTCTCCATGGTAAAGGCAATGTCATCGTACAAACCATCCTCCTCAGGGGTCACAGGGGCGACCTGCTCAGCGATGCCCTTGATCTGGATCTTGCCGTCCGTGTCGACAAGCGAGGCAAGGATGCGGACGAGGTCGGTCATGGGCTCCTGGGCGGTACCGCCAAAGACACCAGAGTGAAGATCGGCACCGGGGCCGGAAACCTCGACGCTGTAGTAGTTGCAGCCACGGAGACCGTAGGTCAGGCAGGGACGCTCGGTGCCGAGCCAGTAGTTGTCGCTGATGCAAACGGCGTCGGCATCGGCAAAGTACTTTTTGCCCTCAGCCATGACGAGCTCCTCGAGACCGTCCGAGCCGTACTCCTCCATGCCCTCGAAGCACATGAGGAGGTTGACGGGGAAGTCGACGCCGGCGGCCTTGTGAGCCTCAATGGCGTTGAGCCAGCCCAGGACGGGGCCCTTGTCATCGGTGGCACCACGGCCGCACATGCGCCCGTCCTCCTTGACGGTCAGGTCAAAGGGCTCCGTGTCCCAGCCGTCGCTCTTTTCGGCGGGCTGGACGTCGTAGTGGCCGTAGACGAGGATGGTGCGCTTGTTCTTGTCGTTGCCGTAGCGGGCAAGGACGACGGGAGGGAGATCGAGGTCGGTGCCCTCCTGCTTGCCGAGAGGACGGAGCTCGACGGTGGCGCCCAGCTTGGTCAGCTCATCGGCGAGCCACTGGCCCATGCGGACGACATCGGGACGGCGGGCAGCCTCGGACGAGATGGAGGGGATGGCAACGGCCTGGCGCAGGCGGTCGATGAAGTGGTCCGACAGGGAGTCCACCTTTTGGAAGTAGCTGTCGAGTTGGGGAGCCATTTTGCGAGCTTGGTGGGCGCGGGTCGACTCGGTCAGGTATGTTTTGGTGAGGGAGAAAGGGGAGACAGAAGCCGGCGGGGAGAAGAATGGTTTTGTCGGACGAGTGATGGCGGCGATAGGACGGCGGACCTGGATCAATCGGGAAGGTCGCCAACCCAGCGTGCGGGGCATTGTCGCGGATGACGGCGAAGAGACTGCTGTGGTCGCAGGGCAACGGGCTGGCAATATCGGGAGACCTTCAGTGGACTTTCAACTAACAAAAAAAGAGGGGTCCCTCGTGGGCGTTCCCCGCTCTCTGCGCTTACTGTCGGCAAGTCTAGCGTCCCGTCCTTGGCAGGGTCTGGTGGGTCGTTTGATTGGGTGGTGATAAGGTGATGTGCGATAAGAGACATGACGTGGGCTCGTCCTGAACAAAATAGGTGAGACCTTTGACAGTATACCTTGGGTATACTCGTCTACGCATCCCAGCGTCTTTGTTACACTTCTCATCTTGAGTTCTAGCTTGCCGTCGAAGTAGGGCAAGATTTGCTATCTTGTCGAAGATGTCAACTTGGCCCTCGCGCCATCCAGACAATCACCATGCGACTGGGCAACCAAGCGGGATGCGGAAATCGCGATGCAGATGACAATGTCGGAGTGGTCATCTTCCATCTTATGGCTGATGAAGTAAGCTTCTCTTCAAGGAGAGTACAACGCCCGGTGTCCACAACTTGACTTCTTTTGTCTTGACGACTATCGAGTTGATGAGTCAGCAATACATGGGTGAAGCGCTCCTTCGCAAAGATGCCGCACCTGTCCCATCAAGACAATCACTAGCTTCCGTCGGTGAATTCTTTGTGATATTCAAAATACGGTCAACTCCTTGATTTTCTCTCCGTTCAAGTTTTTTCCCTCACCCGGATTTTTCGTCTTGTACTCTGCCGGTATGAAGCAGCACAGCCTCCGTTGCCATACTCGACGATATGAAAAGGTCTTGGCGTTTCTGTGGGCAACAGACACTCGCCATTTACCAGTTTAGATTTTGGAATAAACTTCTTCAGGCTTCCATCCACGAAGAAAAGCCCGCGAATTCACAGTTGTCATCAAGTTTGAAGTGTCGTGGTGTTGTAAAAGTGGTGCACTTGTCGAGTGTCTGCGTAGCACAGTTCTGCCAAAGTGTCTGGAGAAATAGCATGACGCGATCAAACTTGGTCAAAGACTGACTGAAGCAAAAGAAAGCAAATACCCAGGGGCTCAGAACTGAAGTTTCATTCGAGACGTGACCAGCTGCTAACCCCCATTTATCAATCTCAGCTTCCAACACACCTGCCTCCAGCTTCCGCTTCAACACATCAACCACCTTTTCCTCCTCACGGTCAGTTTCCCTCTTATCTGATTTGGCCTGTAGCATCATAGGTTGATGTTAGCAAGTCATACTGCCCCAACTTCTCGCGCGCGTTGGACGTGAACTACACAAATTCTCAACCATGTCTTTACGCTCTCTCTCTCCGTGTCCTGTAGAAGACCTTTCTCTTTAGTTTCATCCAACAATGCGCTTTGTATATGGGAAAGAACGCTACGTCCAGTCTATATCATGAAATGGAAGTCTGTTGGTCAGTTTTGTCTTCTGAGTACGAAGTGTTTCGTCGACCTGAGAGAAAATCCATCCCGAATCCCGCGTTCCTGCCGCTGTACACATGTAGGGAAGCCGCGTACCTGCCGCCCCGCCAGCTTTTTTCCCATCCGGACTGCAATCCCAATTCAGGTCCTGTACCAAGCCCTGGCAGCACGCACCGTTCCAGTTCTTTCTCATTCCCATATTCTGCGATTCTCTTGAACCTTTTCCCTCTCCACAACACAACACGCAACCACAGTATGAACCCCCTCCCTTCTCGCCACTCCCTTTGCTGCCCTTTACCGTCGTGCCTCCTTTATCTCTATACAATTTTGCTAACTGGCCTGCGATACAGTTGCCAAAATGTCAGACAAACCATCAGACCAAACTCCCAAACAACGTGGAAGATCCTCTAGATCGAGATCTCCCCCAGCCGGGCCTGCCCCAGCTCGGGACCGGAGAGACCACCAACGGAAGCGCAATACCGGAGGCACTCAACATGGCCAACCGGCCCTTTCAAACTCGGATCAACGACAGATCCGCCGTTTGTTTGAGGCCCACCAAAGTGTGACGAACCGTTACAAGCACAGGAGTATATCGCTGGGATCAGAACAACGGTAAGAGTAGCCGAAAGGTACTAATCGATTGTAGAAGCTATTGCTTGCTGAAGAGCCCAGTATTCAGGAAGCCTGGGGAGGCCTTCCTTTATACTGGTTCTTCAGTATGCGCCGTTGCGCCGTTGAGGCCATTCCCGGCCACCCGGCGCGGCCCTGATTGGTCTAACTAGCTGCTTACATAAGTGATCCCTTATTGGATCGTAACACAAAGCACACAAGGGGTTGGTAAGTCCATGTCGGACTTGCCCACCATCAAGCCGAACTATGACGGGATAGGAAAGCTCTTTCCTCTGATCTCGGACGACGAGGTTTTCCTCAAATTCCACAATGAGAAGGGAAGGAAGCCAGACTACATGGAGCGCCTCTCCAATGACCCGAGCACTCCTCACTTCAATTGGATGGCGCGCCAAACCAGTTCCGGCAGGCCAAACGCTTACCTGGCCAAGACAACAACCGACCGCGAGTCGTTGCTTGCCTTGGTCAACTCAATCGAGAGGCTCGCCATGGAAAGCAACACCCCGGTTGCCAATGTGAGAATTGAGTTTGTCCCACAGTTCTTTGTTGAAAAACATCGCAACGAAGTTGAGGGCATCATCCATGACCAGGAAGAGCCAATCGCCATCGACTACGACGATCAACCGGCCGCTGAGGTTGCCAAAGGTCCCTCCGTCTCGGTTCCAGATGTTGTCTGCGGCAACAAACTGTGTGGCAAAAAAGGTCACACAATCGCCCAGTGTATCATTCCAGACCCCCAAACGGGTCTCGTGTATGGTTGTCCATTGTGCAACACAGACGAGCACCTCGTTGACTGGAGGTGCCCTGTGAAGCCCATGCCTGCTCCAGGAACACAGTTGGACCCCAAGGTGATCCAGGAGTACATCGAGAGGCTTCTCGACGTATGCTTTGTCAAAAGGGCCAACAGGCCCTTCTTCGCAACCAATGGCATGACCTGGCCTTCTCTTTTCCAATCTTACCGGCACTTTGCGGAGGACATCAAGACTTACGAGGAACTCAACAAGTCATCCTGGGATACAAGGGGCCACTATCCATGGACTCCAGAGTACGCCATGCGCATGGTTGACTCTGCGGAGAAAATGGACGAGATGAAGAAATTTGACCCGACCACACATACATGTCGTAATGTCGGCTGCTCTCACTTTCATTCTCGGGACCCTGTATACAACAAATACAAGTCCTTGTCCGAGACCATCGACGCGTTTTTCAAAGGAGAATGGAATGTTGCGACTGGTTGGATCCCTACCACGCATGTGGACCGACTTACCAGGTTGTCGTATCTGGAAGCTCAAGCCCGTCGGCTAGTCGAAAGCGCCGAGTTCCTTGTCAAAGAGGAGCCTGGTGCTGAAGCACCACCGGCGCCTGTGAAGCCCGAGTCCTTCCCACCTCCCACCATCGTGTCCAACGCTTCCAACTTGGTGCAATATGTGTGGAACGAACAAACACAGAACTTCGACGCTGGTGTCGATTGGTCGTTCTCCAGCTTCGTCACCACCAGAGACAAGGCACCGAAGCTGCTCCGTCGGTGCGATCCCGAGGCTGACTATGCCATCAACTATGCAGCATGGGTGTTTAAGCACCAACGGCCAGACAACGGGCCAGTTGGCGACTCTCTCGAGGATTAGGCTCTCCGCGCCGTGATCCAGGTCGCGGAGATTCAACAATGGAAGAGCAGAGTGGCCGAGCTGGGTCGCCAAGGTGAAGAAAGAAGAAACGCCCGAGAGGCGGAAGACAGAGAGTTGGCCCTGGAGGCTGAAAACTCTAGATCAAAAGGATATGTTCACGTCAAATGTGAACATGACTAACTTCTTCATCCCGGCTAATCTGTCGGTGATTTCTGACAGTGAGCGACCCTCACCAAACGCTGAGGGCCCTTTGACTCAGCGAGACTTTTGATAGACATTGAATACAAATATTTGATGTCCGTCACTTCAAATTGTGTTTCGTGTGTCTTTGCCTGTGATTGTCCCTATGTGATTGTATGATTCGTTGGTCCAGCCTTGTCGCGTGCAAACATCGCACTTTCCTTTCTCGTGAGACCAAAGTCTGTGCCCTGGGTTCCTTTCGCTTGGATTTCGACTCAGCGGTACACTCGAAACTTTTGCTAATTTCCTGTACCCCGTCTTTCATTTCATGATTTTCCATTGACGTCCACAGATCCAAGCCTAGTATCGTACTTCATCAACCCAACTCGCAAAACCAACTCACCTAGTTCAAGTAAACGTCCGCTAACATGCTTTCTAGATGCCAGTTTGGCACATACGGTTCTTGTGACCGCGAGTGACCGGACTATCGAGACCGCCATCGAGGCCGCGGACGAGCGCACGAGCGATGGGAAAACCGAGACTACGAACGAGAATACAAGACGGCCCCATGACAGAGACCACAATCGAAGGCGTTCGCCTAGCCCTCCATGTCATTGATCACTGGCGGCAGACGGCGACCCATTCCGACATTGAAGGATATACCGACACCGCTGCCCAGGGCGCTCGCCTAGCCTTCATCAGTCACAGGAGGTAGAAAGAAATAGCGACATGCAACAGAGATATACATAGGGACGCAGCGTGCCCAGACAGAAGCGTCGAGTGATTGGCCTCACTGGCGTCACATCAAGATGGTCAGGCCACCCGATGGCTCCCTCTCAGTTCTGCCCCTACCGAGCGAGTCGCCTGCGCTCAGCAAAACGGGAGATACGAGACGGACAGTCACGGACTTGCTTGAGCATTGCCCCACGGTGCCGGTGTTGAACTGGGCTAGCGAAACCGACCAACCGAACCAACATCGCATCAAGATATCCGCAAAAGACGCTCCACTCTTGACCAATCCCGATGACTCTCTTCGGTGTGTCTGACCCCTGCAATGGCGTCGGGTACGACCCTCCAGTCCAATTTTACCCATGTAGTCTAGACCTATAAAGCCTGGTTAGTTGTCCCACACTCCCTTTCACAAATTTTGTCCCTTTATTCCCCAACATCTTTGGCATTCATCTGAGGTCTCCTTCAAGGCCGTCATACTGTCATGGCAGGCTCTCGTGCGTCCCTCATGGAGTGGACAGTCGACGACGGCACCGATAACGAAGCTGCATTCAACGGTCAAAACATTCCCCACAGTCTGTCCTCCAAAGTCACCCAATGGTGTCTGATACGCGGTATTCGACACCACCCCGGCTTCGCCACTGAGTTGCACGGTGCTCCAGAGCTCCCTTCCATCACCCGAGCGCTCAACGCGCGCGCCATCATGAGCAGCAAAGTCCCGCAGATGGAGAAGGAGGAAGAATTTCCATATTGCTTTTGGCACCCTGATCTGCCCAGCGAGCAAACACTCCGGCAGCTTCTCGCCCGGTATGGAGAGACCCGGCCAACCATCCAGTATCAAGTCGGACGTGTGTGTGCGATGGCCGGCTACACTGCTTTGTACGATGAGCTCCATCTCTTGCCCGAGGTGGCCATTGCAGAGGAAGCCCGCGATAGCTCTGCGCCAGGAAGCAAAGCCATTTACGAGTCCATCATGCGCCAACCAGCCCGTTACTCCATCATGGACGACTACGCCCTCAAGATCCGGACGGAAGATCCCAGACCGGTTGCTTTCCTCATGGGAAACACATGCACCCGCCAAACTCTTGTCAACTACCCCATGCCCGCCGGCAACCTCTTCAACCCTCACACCATCCCGGCCCCCATCTTTGACATAACCGAGGACCGCAACCTTTCCTTCGACAAGAACGCTCTCCGCCCCTCCCAAATTCCCGTTTCGGAAGATACCCTCCGGCTCTTGTACGCCCCGCTCCCGCTAAATCTACCGTCCCACGCCGCTTCCATGGCCGACAAGAACCTCCTCATCCTCATGGCCGCTTGGTCCAGCAACATTGAGCGGTACTCGCGTCTCCGGCGGCCTGGTGTCGTCATCCCTGGCGAGTTGCAGTGCATCGTGCGCGGCATCTACCACTCGGTCTTCTTCGCCAAGTGGTGGGCATCTCCAGAGCAACTGAAGGTTCAGAAACAGCTGGGAATCAACCTGATGCCATTTATCCACGCACGCTTTGTCATGCACAACGATCTCTCGTGGATAAAGGAGGATACGCCCGAGGAGGACATGCCGACGATCATGTGGGTTCCGGACCATGCCGAGCAGAGCACGTACTTGGCCATGGCGCGGATGAGACCGACGGAGAGAACCAAGTTTCGGTGCGCGAGGGCCCTGATCGCCATAGGCGATTACGAAGGGTATGAGAAGCTGGGCACGGGCCCGGACAGGACCCAGTACTGGGAAGCCCAAAGCCGGCAATGCAAAGAAGAGGCGTCAGGATTTGAGGGCGTGGGAAAGAAGTTTTTGGAGGATATTGAAAAGAAGGCCAAGGAGAAATGGGGGACAAGAAACATCAATGAGCGCCCTGATGACCCGGATCATTTGTATGTGGCGGAGTGGCATTATGAGTTGACAAATATGGCTGAAAACGAGGTTGAGGATGAATGGAATCTGGTGTGGTTGACGCACATGCTCGACGTTGGGGATAAACCGCCTCGATCGATCAACTTGTATCGGCAGGTCAAGACAGAGATGACGGGATTTGATGAGCTCAGCAACGGGACCTACATACGAGCCATGACAGAGGAGGAGTATGAGGATTGGTTTGCACAAGCCGACCACTACGCTGACCCCAGACAGCCCAATGACTTTAACCAAGACTGTGGCGTACAAGGCATCTTGTTGCGCGTGGCAGCAATGGACGAAGTGAAGAGAATGGTATCAGAGGGGTTTGAGTGGCGAAATCTGTCTCAAATGTATCGAAACTGGGATCATGTACCGGAGGATGAAAGGGAGTACCTTGGGGTATATCCGAGAAAGGAGAAGTGGGGGATGAAATATCTCCGCCGCAAACTTGTCAGAGGCAGAAGTGGTAAGATGGTGTGGGCTGGAGTATGGTAATCGATGGCCGTTGTGGGGGACGCTGAGATCATGTCATGGAAGGGGACATAGGGGTGGAAGACAAACGGTTTTCTCAAGTCGCTGCAAACGCAGAATGTCATGGCATCTGTCAAGCTATTTCTTTCAACTCGTCTTGTTTCCAAATATATTACTTCTGTTTGCTCAGATATCCCAAAAAAAAAAAACGTGATAGGTCGGCCCTAATATCCCTTGGGTTTCCAGCTCTTGGATTTGCTCTTTGCCGTCCGCCAGTGTCAACCGATTGCCCAAGAACTGACTCTTTGTTTGGGATCTGGTCGGTTCGTTGTATCGTGCGAGGATTTTGCGGCAAATTTGAGGTCGAAGACTTGTACGTAAATTGACAGGGACGAACGGCTTTGGTGTATAGGAACTCGGTTGTCGTACATATTACTTGAGGACGCTTCATCCCTAACGTTGCAGCAGGACAATCTGTAGAGCGTCAATGCTTCTAGAACTGGATATTTGGCCAGAAACGTACATTAGGGCTGGGTGCAGGCATCCAGTATATAGCCTGCATGTCTAACTACAACGAGAGAGCATATCAGTGTACAAATACGAGGCTCATGACTTGGAACGCAGGGAGTTACATTAACCAGGTATCGAGAGGTATAAAGCCATCTCGCCTCCCCCCCTCATTCCCCTTTCGTTGTAGTTACCTCTTTGACTTTCCTTGACCGAGAGTCGCTTATTGTGACCCAGCTTGTATGTCTTTTTGCCCCCCAATCTCTACGTTTGTTTTCCTCTTGATTCGCCACACATAGCTCTCTGCGGTCGGTATTGCTTCGTCACGTTCGGGTTTGGCCTACTGACCAAAGCCATCGTATCAGCACATTGCCAAGTCAAGTAGTCAATAGAACAAGACCCGACTGAGGACTTTGGCACGGACAGAACGTACCCCAACCACTCTAGCCCGGCAGTCCATACTCTAATGTTTAGAGGCGTCGCTAAATCCTTTTCACTACTTCAATTTGCAGATCACGGGCGGAGTTAGTAGGCGCCGACGGACGTTTGGGAAACATCTAAGCATAGCGGGGTAATATGGATCACCAATTACCGAATATCTTGCCCAAACTCTTGTATCTTGGCTTTGCCAACACGCCTGTCGGACTCGGCCACGACAGCGGGCAACTTATAGACGTCGGGGTCGCGTCGGCTATAGTGTCCAGGTGTAAGCTTTAGGGGGTATGAAACTATAACATCTAGTCGGCGATATCGTGACTGGGATGGTAAGCTTACTTGTAGTATTTATAAATTATCGGGACCATCCCCGGGGGATGGGAGTATAGCCTTGAAGCCTTCCTCGAATCGCAGTAATACGTCAAGGCTAACAAACACGGATTAGCAAGGCACTGAACTAAAGAACGCGGCGAAGGCATGGCCGCTTCAATTCTCTAGCTAAGCTAGGCTAGCGCGGGGGCCAAGCTAGAAAAGTGGGTCGGCCAGCAAGGAACCACTACAATCCGTTGTCCGCTACTAGGATTTCGCAACAGCATTATTCGATTTCCAAACGGCCCAGGTCTCTTATCGCTAAAGTCCAGATCAGCACGTCGTCTCTAGTCGTCCAGATCTGCGACATTCGACGGGACTGAAGAACCGTGACAAAGTTTCCGTATTTCGACTCAATTCACCACCTTCTCAACAACCGCCATCACCAAACCGACATTAAGGCCGCTAGTACGTACGATCGGTGATACTCCACGCAAAGCAACGCGTCCCACCAAAGCACGCCGAGATCTTTAACTTTCCCTATCCTCCTGGTCAGTCCCCTCCTCGTTTCAGTCATAGCTTCGACGACTAACACCAGGACTACAATCCTAAGCTTCGTTGCAACCTCGACTCGACGTACAATCGTCCAAATACCACCACGCGACAAGTCTTTCGATACAGCACGAACATAATAGTAATCAAACGCTAACGCTTAATTTTAACCCACATTCAATTCGACGGACCGTCCCAAACCAAGCCTCCTCGCCCAGCGCGACATATCTCTTACCAAGCCAGCAACGCCCTACAGCCTCGAAGCCTAGAAATTTAGGGTATTATCACCTGGCCCGTAGGATCCCCAACAAGGCTTGAAAGCTTCCAAGTTGCTTATTCTAACAGGACAAGTCCGTTGAAATTTTACTGCAGGATCGATATAGGTACGTATTCAGGCAATCAAAACCCGCAGGCCCTACAAGCATTTTGGCACTGATTGTACGGTCACTTGCGTGAAAATGCTATATGCAAGCAGCTAGGTTAGGGTTAGGGTTAGGGTTAGGGTTAGGGTTAGGGTTAGGGTTAGGGTTAGGGTTAGGGTTAGGGTTAGGGTTAGGGTTAGGGTTAGGGTTAGGGTTAGGGTTAGGGTTAGGGTTAGGGTTAGGGTTAGGGTTAGGGTTAGGGTTAGGGTTAGGGTT